GCAGGAATGGCCGATATCCTGGGAGGTAATGAAGCATGTTCACTTTTTCTCTGAGGATTAGCAGGCACCATGAGGCAGTAAGGAAATATTGAGCTCTGATTATTTACACATCTATTTACTAGGTGGGGACAGGGCTGTCAAGTCAAGGGTGGCATACACAGACGAGTGCTTCACTTACTGCTTCTTACTCTGGTAAATCGAGGTTAAATACATGTATTATGTTGCTCACTGAAACACTGAATCTGGGTTCAGGGGATCTTTTAAATTGTAACTAGTTAATTTTGCGGACTATTTAATGCGAACGTTAACAGGCAGATCTACACAAACGAGGCCACACCAGTGAAGGGTGGGGTGGGGGTGGGAAAGAAACTGCCTGGAAGAGATGGTAAGATAAGGAAATTGACCAAGACACTATGTCTGACATGAACGATTCTGGTATCGGTGTCTGTGCAAAAGGCATTTCCCTTTCTTTTCACTGAATTCTGACCATGAATTCAGACAGGGAGACGAGCAGGTGTGTGGGCGGCACACACAGCCCATTTGGGGAAGCTCCGCTTTGAGCCCACCCTGAATTCCGCATGAAGGACAAAGGAGTCCGACAGGATTAAACTTTAGCAACTAAAGGGAGAAACTTTCAGCTCAGAAATCATGACTTGATCACAACTAATGCATCACATATGAAAGGGACCCTCTAAAGGTTTTATAAAGAATGAAAAGTCCAGCCAGAACCTGAACCTCGTTCCCTCCTCATAAAGGTATGTTGGTCACTTGACTGTACCTCTTTCTACAATGCTGTGTTAGCAACTCTTTCTCATAGGCACTATCCTATCTTCATCCAGATTCAATGTTCTTTTTCAAAGTGATTATCAAATGTTATGGCCATCTCAAAAATCACCTGCAAAAAGAAAATATGTCTCCCCCTCCCCCCGCCGCCCCCAGTTATAACAGCATTGCTGATGAGATTCCAGACCTCAAATTCTTCTCCTGCCTGTGACACCTGGGCCATTGGCACAGGAAATACAAAGTGGGCAGAAAGTGGGCAAAAGGAAAAGAAGAATTAAGTCAATTTTGTTTCTTGTAAAAGCCTTTTTTGAGAAAGGCAATTTGGGTGAAATATATGGTTAGAGATGATAGGCTACTTGTGCCCTAGAAAAAGTGGGTGTGTGTTGTCTCTCATGTCAGAATTTCGTTTATATTAATCAACTAAGAAATTCCACTACCAAGATATTTTAAAGTTAGAAGGAAAAAGAGGCATTCTCTAAAAGCCAAAAATAATCTTTTACAAATACAACAGCGCAAAAAAAAAAAAATTGCATCTCGTTTGCCAGCGACGTTTAAAATGTGGTCACCACATCTGTAAATAAGCATCTGAGGCCCCTTTTAATCTTAAAGTGACATGCTTTGATATGCTAAAAAGTCTTCTACGTATTCATTGAAGCAGCTTCACCTTAAACCAGTGCCTTGGTTTGCACATCTCCCTGTTCCTTTATTGGTTCACCTCCTCACCGGGCTAACATTTACGGAAGTCATCACATAGACAGAGGGATGCGCCTGAGGTGCTCCCACTGTGGTGGGGCAGATGCACAGCGGCAGCGATGAGCTGCCTTCAACACAGGTGTCCCCTCAGAGGTGTGGGGTGGAAGAACTCAAAGTGGGGTGTGCTTGAGCCTACCTGAGGGTGGGGAGAAAAGCTGCACGGAGAAGATCATTTAGTGGGAGAAGGAACACTGAGTAATGGTTGGCCAAGACAAGAAAGGGTGGGGGTGTCAGCACAGTATTCTGGTTATAAGAAAGGGCTTACGTCAAAATACTGTTAGTTCTCCTGATTCTCACGCCACTCATGCCCCTATGGCTTCCCTCAATGGTTTCCTCTTCCAGAATGTTCTGCCATGACTGGTCAGATTAACTCCTACCTCTGACTTGAGCTTTAGCTCACGGGTCACTTTTTCCTGAGGCTTTCAGGACTTGCTGGTTCAAGTTACATGTGGTGACCTTTGCGATCTCCGAGGGCTTTTTCTAGTGTAGGACCTATCCACTGCCTCGTAATTGTTAGATTACTCGTCTGTCTCCCCACTGGATCGTGGACCCCAGAGCAAAGACTATAATGTCTGTCTTTGGATCCCTAGTGCCTGCCATGTGCTGGCATCAAATCTATAGTCAGTAAATGCTGACTAAGTAAATGAATGGTGTGTCTGGGTGACAGTGTGAAGTTTGGTGTGACTGGGTTATGGGACGGGAGGCTAAGGACAGATCCTGAATCCAAAGAAACTATATTTTATCTGTTTCAGATTTTCTCAAACTACAGATTGCATGACCCATTGGGAGATTGTAAATTTCATTTAGAGTATTAACATCAGCATTTTTCAAAACAAGGAACAAAGAAAAGATATTAGAGGGTAACATACATGGTAAAGATACATATTGTTTTAAATGAAACTTTTGTTCAAGTTGTATCCATGTGTGCCAGCAATACTATGAGTCATGATGTAAAATGCATTTCCTACTGTTTAAGAGCCGTCCTATAGGGAACAAGATGTTAGCAGCTGAAATCAAGAATGCAGGCAATAAAGCAAGTTTGGGGGCAGAGGGCAATGAGTACCGTTCTGGGTCTGTTAAATGTTAGAAATGACTGTAGGTCAAGATAGGGGATGTGTAAAGTGCAGCTGGAAATACAGATATGGATCTTGGGAGAGGAATTTAAGGTGGTGGGGGCGGGGGGAACATTTGAAACTCTTTAGCATACACATGGTAGTAGAAAGCAAATGCCAAAATATAGCTACAAAATGGTCTTAGTTCCCTATATTCGTATATATACAGTTCCCAGAAGGGTGGCTCTGTGATTTCCTGGACTTTTAGCATCTGTTAAAGAAAAACCTACCTTATCAGTAGGTTTCACTGCCTGTCCCTGATAAACTATGATTTAAGGACCGCAAACTTCTCTTCCAGATTAACCTATGCACTGACAGGTACAGCTTAAATCTCACCCATCCTGACAGCCTCTTTGATAGGCAGAGGAAGACACTAAGAAAAAGAGGGCCTTCTCTGCTGAAACATCTACTTTACAAAGAACAAAAGAGAAGCAAATTCTAAACTTCTGGAGCTCAGAGTTCAAGAACTAGTGTCTGTCAGAAATATTTACTTACCCTTCTAGATTATTAATAGTTCCACTAGTTCTCACATCTGCTGGTCTTTGCTTCTGCACCAGCCCCAGGGCTGCTGAAAGGGGTCCCTGGGCTTTCCCCGAAGCATGCCTGTAGTTTAAGCAGGAGGGCTGCTGCTAGTTCTTTCTGGGTCAAGGGGTCGGGAGTTTCCAACAGAAACTCTGGCACAGAGGAACTCTGGCCAACCAAATGCAGATAAATTGTCTTGCGCAAGTGTGTGCTAATGAAGCGACGTGGAATATGCCAGGTTCGCACTTTAGCGTCTCTCATTTTATGAGCCGGGCACTCTACAGTGGTACTGACGACTTCAAACTGACTTAGCAATGAATCTAAGGAAATAGAGAACAACCAAATAACTTTTCTGAGTCTTAAACTGAAACTTTAAAAGTCCTAACTTGTAACATTAGAACTTTTAAAAGTCCTAAACATTAAAAGTCTTAAACTAAAACTTTAAATGTACACACACACACACACACACACACACACACACACACACACACACATAAAATAATGACTGCTTCCTAGCTGTACTGCTTTAGGTTCTGGGAGATGCCTGCAGTGAGAAGCCCTAAATGAAACTCGCGAAGAGGCACAGCAGAACTCGGCTTGCCTACCTCGCACTCCACTCTGGAACAGATGGTATAAAGGTCAGAGATGAGCCAGAGAGAAAGGAGAACTTAGGAGACTCTCCCTTGCTGGCTTTGAGGAAGCAAGCAGTC